GTATTGTTCGTATTTTATTCAGAAGCCTTTATATTCCTCTTCTTTTCGTGTTCGTCTCCATTTTAGTTTTATTCTTTTACCTCGTTTTAGACTTTACTTCGTGTTCCTCTTAGTCTTAATCGTAAATCGCTTCTTAGTAAAAATTTATGAAGGTGAAATGGAAGAACTTCCGTTGCATCGCAAGTGTAACAAATTTCCGTGACGACATTTTTAGTTATTCACCACGGCCGCAAATAAAGGTGTTATCATATCCGAGTATCTGTTTGTTCTATAAATTATTTTCCATTTCGTTAGGAAAGAACATAACTATACGTAAGTGCGGAAATTAATAGGAAATGCTCTACAACAGAAACAATACAGAAAAAAATGGAAATGCATATAAAATTTAATTGTCAGCAATGTCATAGACATGCATTGTCTATATATCCGCCCGTAATTTTTGATTTTTTCCAATTGTCAAAAGAAAATTTGCAACACATAAATTATTTTTAATTGTGTTTTTTTTCTTTTTCTAAATTTTATGTCGTTTTGCCTTTGCGCTCACACAAAAGCGTAGTGTATTTTGTTTTCATTATTGTGTATGTAAATTTTTGTTGTTATTTTTGCGAAAAGCAATTAACCTATGCTTTACACTAAAGTGAATATTTCCTACTTTGTTCGTTTTTTTCGTTTTTTTTTTGTGGATCTTATTGTCTTTTATTTATATGGCGACGTATGTACATATGTATGTACCTATTTACGGCTGTGTACACGATTGTAGTCAGCTAGTTATTACCTTTCTAATTGAAAGTACAAATGCACGTGGGTACTTTTCTATGTCGCCGGCACTGTCAAATGTTACAAATGTGAAGTCTATCTTATGATCGCAAAAAATTCTAAATTACGGTGAGTAGAAGGTCAGTTAATTATTACCTTTTTCGATCACCATTCGTTTTATTGTGGGATGCTTGGGGGCAGTGGGCGGGGTTAGTAGGTAACAACTGGACTACAAATCTTCAGTTGTATCGTTATTATGTCGTTTGTATTTACGTTTGCAAATAAAGAGTCACTTCTAATAATTGCTAACTGTAATTGTATAGCTTTAGTTGCCAACCCCATAGTTTGATAGGCAATTTAAGCGACAATTACTTAGATAAATCTAGATAAATCATACACACATACATACATATGTATGCACACTTACTGCCTTAAGGCCCATACACATACAACTTTGGCGTTGCGTTGGCGCTGTCATCGCTTTGACAGCAGCGCCCATGCTTGCTACAATGAACACTTCAGAGAGAATACTTTGGTCACTACATTAACATACCAGCGGCAGATAAATCAAAATTTTATATCAATAATTGCACTATATTTCTTGCTCGCATTTTGATTAAAAAGGAAAATTAAATCACATAATTTTGATTTTTTTGTAACAGCTGACGAACGACGCGCGCGAAAAGTTGAGAGTTGGCCATCTTTCTGCGTTGTGTTAGCGTTGGCGTTGTCCAACTTTCATATAAATGCATGTATTCATAGTCAGCTGTCGAAGCGACGCTAACGTCAACGCAATGCCAAAGTTATATGTAAACGGGCCTTAAGAGCATGTTATTTTCCGCAATTAAAATAGGAAGAAAAAAATTATGTCAAAGTACAATTTTGCGCTTTTCTGACTTCGCTTCTCTCGCCAATTAAAAATTAATTGAATTATAGGGCACTTTGCCCCAATCTGGCTTAAAGAAATAAGTTGGGAAGAATATGAGCATCGAACACTATGCACTTAAAAGCCCCTTAAGTCAAAAATCATTTCAAATTGGGTTACCATCTATTCAATAAAATAGATTATATATGTACGTAAATAAAGACATGTCTGGAACAACCAGCTAAAAAAAATTAAGGAAATAGGTACATACATATATTTTTTAAAATTTGGTTATGAAACCGCCAATAAGTCACCCAAATTACCTAATTTTGGTGCTTATTTTGTGCTTAAAAATTTTATTTTATATGAAAAGAGTTATTTGTTATGTTTTAAATTTTGGTATTCAATTCTTTTCCTTAAACTGTTTAAGATAGTTTAAAAAATGTTCAGTTCATAATTTCTGATGGGCAATTGTTTATAAAGAATGCTGGCCTGGAAATGAAATCGGATTCCAAAGAGTCTCTGCTCAGTTTTCCAGATTCCCCATGATGACGACATTGGTCCTGGTAGTCAAAGCCTAAGGCTTCTTACAAGTGGGAAGTCACACTTTGTATTCCTCCACAAGCACACAATACCTTCAGATTGTGTCTCCTCAGAATGTCCCATTTTACCGATAAGGTACTATCTTAAAAAATTCCGACCAGAATATGGTTAGTTGTGTGCCTATTGATAAACTCGTCTTAAATCGAGGCCCAAGTATGCCGGTCCCAGTACACTTATCACGATTTTTGGATCCATCAGTTTACCAAATATCCTTTCTAAACTCTGTGTTTACCGCTTTTCAATATGTGGTCTCATTCGGGAATAATATTCGTGTAGGGCTTCATAAAGATCAGATCAGCCTCAGCAGTTCTGAGCAGCAAACTCAACTTCAACTAAGTGATATAAACATAAAATAACAGCTTATTAATGGCGCTAATAGTTTGTTTTACTTCACTCACAAGCAATATAAACTTTTTTAACTTATATGAACTCACTGAGACTAACAAAAAGCGCTTCAAAGTGAAGAATTTTCCACTTCTGAAGTTATTCGGAACACTTTTATTCTTCACAATATTCGCCAATTAAGTTCAATAAAAGTGCGTCTCGATACTCTCCATTATATACTTATTAAATGAAATAAAAAAATGTGCAAACAAAATACCCATATACATACATACATACATAATACTTTGCAATATTTATTTATTTTACGACTTCACCAACTTTGCTTGTGCCGTATGCGCTTCCAGCATCTCACTATGTTGCCGGTCATGCTTTATTTATACTTGGCTGTGGTCAATAGACCCCAAAATGGCAATGAAAGTTATCAATGCTTTGTAAAAAAAAAGAAAATAAATAAACTTCAGCAAAAGAAAAATCGATAGTGAGAATGGAATTTGTGCGCATCTGTGTGAGTTTAAGTTTAATAAATAAAATTATTTTCTACTAAAGCAAAAATTGGGTTTTCGCTACCGTTATTTCTGACTTTTATTTTATAAATTGAAAATAACAATTATTGTTGATTTTTATCTAAATAATCTGCAAATAACAGTTATTTTTGTTTTTTTTTTTAAATTATATGTCTTACATAACAGTTATCGAAGACTTTTATTTATATAAGTCATAAATAAAAATCAGTCAATGACCTTCATTTTTTAAATCATACTTATAAAAGTAATTTGTATAAGTCGTAGTAAGCTTTTGTTTCCCAACACCTTCTTAGCTGCGAAACATTTTAATGACTTTTATACGAATGATTTAAAAAATAATTTTTATTGATGACTTTTAAAAGCAAAAGTCACTAACTGATTTTTATTGATAACTTTTATAAATAAAAGTCTTTAATAACTATTATCTAAGACGCATAGTATATAAAATAATTGTTGTTTGGGATTTATAACATAAAGATCAAAAATAATAATTATTTTTTTATTTTGCATAAAAATTGCAAATAAAGATTCATTTTTCCATGACAGTTTTCATCAATAACTGTTGGGTTCGGTCCATGAAAATTTTTTTTTCCTAGGTGGAAATTTGTTACGCTCTTATTAAGTTTATTTTTTACCTGAGTGTTCTTTGAAAAAGTTGTAACATAACGGTTAAAAGGTATACTATAGTAAAATACCTAGTTCAGACGCTATAGTAAAATTTCACGAAGATTATTTAGTTTCCGCAAAAATTTCACTAGGTCTTTATTTACGATATCTGTTTTTGAATGGTATGCAATCCTTAAAAAAATTTACTTTAGGCTTCTTGTAAGTAAATAGGCTCTAAGTTCAGAACGAAACAAACAATTTGTACATTCCAACTGTAAACATTCAAAGGAAATCGTTTTAAAACAGAATTATCAGCTTATGGAGATAAAGCTTTATCAAAAGTCTGCTAGTTTTTGGTTTGCAAAGTCAAAAAATATATGTATCTATGTGTGTATGTATGTACACTGCCGGCAAAAAGTATTGGCACAGCAAATTTTTCACAATACATCCAACAACTTTTTTCTAATATTTTTCCGCAAATTTTGTATAAAAATATACTTCATTCTACAACAAAAAACATAAAAATATAATCCCCAAACTTCGTGCAAAACTCACGAAAATTCTGCAAGTTTTCATGCAAATTTTCGACTTTTTAATCAGATTTAATTATATTGTAGTAAAAAACTGCAAGTTCGGAGTTAGTCAAAAATCGCATTGACTTTTGAGAATTTTTTTTTTTTTGTGGAAGGTGTTTTGCATTTTTTTCCAAAAAAAAGTATTTTTGAAAAAATTATTTTGTATGGAAGACTGCGTGAAAAAAGTTTCCAAAAATCAACAGTAATTCATAGCTACTTTAAACTAGTACATTATTATAATAAAATTGTATATGTTAAAAAAAATTCTAAAAAATCTGATTAATAAGTTGAAAATTTGCTGAATTTCGTGAGTTTTGCACAAAGTTTAGGAATTATATTTTTATGTTTTTTGTTGTAGAACGAACCATATTTTTTATAAGAAATTGGTGGAAAAATATTAAAAAATAAATTGTTGCATATATTGTGAAAAATTTGCTGTGCCAATACTTTTTGCCGGCAGTGTATGTACATATCGAGCGCTAACAGCCAAAAAGACGTAAGCGACATTTTTTTCGAATTTATATTTTTTATGCAGAAATATCTCTAGATGCTCTAGAAAAAGTTCTGCATAAAAACAAAAATATTTTTTTAATGTCGGTTGCGTCCCTTTGCCGGTTATAGTTCGATATGTTTGTGAGTGAAGTGCTTATCTACATATTTCCCCCTAAAATAGCTTTCTTATCAGCATATGTGCATAAATTTCCACATTCTCCATCCTCTTTCCAGATAATGACGTCGAGAGCGTACTTGCCGAATCGCAGGCAATTGTGATGAGCGCCTCCCAACAACGCCAACAACAATTAATTAATCAACATATGCTCGAATCTCAAACATCTGTTAGTAGTGGCGCTTCAATACAAACCGTGCTGCATCAGTCGATGTTCGCGAGTGCAACCAGCACAACTAGTACACAACAACAAAATTTACAACGTACCGGCAGCATATCAAGTAACAACACCACCCCAGCACACCGCGCAGCAACACCCACAAAAACGGCAACGCAACAGCAGAGTGCAGCAGTTAACAGTAACAGTAACGCACTGGCTAACAGCAGCAATTCGACATCAACAGCACAGAGTGTTTCATATGCCACAGAAGCGTTGATAACATTACGACCACAACAAATACAGCAAACACAACAGCAGTTGCCGCCAGCTGAGTGTATAAACTCGTTGTTGGAGCATATAAGCCCGGCTGCAGCAGCGGCTGCTATGAGCGGTGAAGGTGTGTTGAATATTGCCGATGTTGCTGATCTGTTACATCCGCAACATGCCATCATAACGGGTAAGTTGCTGGAGCGGTATGTCGTGAAAGTTACACTGAAATGTCTTATATTTTTAGGCGGTCGCTCGCATGGCGGTTGTCCGCTAATCATATTTCCGGATAATAACAATTTCCATTTGTTGGAGGAAGCGGATTATCAGAAGTTAATTTTATATCTCACATCAGTGCCATCGTAAGTATGCGATGCCATTTTTAAGATTTTATTATATTTTAATTATCTTTTTTAGGCTGCAGGATACCGATTTGGGTTTTCAGTTAATCATCGATCGACGGAAAGACAAATGGACGTCGGTGAAAACAGCGCTACAGAGGATATCGGTAAAATTTATGAACAAATAATAATAAAATTACTCACCCTGATAGCCAAACAAAAATACTTGGATCTTAAAAATCCTCAAAATTGCAATTTCATACCTTCATTCCTTTTCTTCTAAATATTGCTCTCTCACTGCAATTCTTAATCAGCTTATACAATTTTCTGCGATAAGAGAATTTCAAGTCCAGTCTACATTTGCTCAATAGTAATATCTAGGCAGTAAAATTAATTACAAAAATTCAGTCAATGTTTCGAAACAACTTTTCAGCTCTTTTAATTTATTGAAAAAATAGCCAGGGCTTTCGATGTTGACTCAATTGGGCTTGAGGCAGTAAAATACCTTATCATAAGTGTGTCTTCAAAGTTTTCCCCATATTCCTCGTAGGCACGATGGGAATCCGATTATCGCCAGTCCAATAACTAGCCTTGCTAGTCTATCAAACTCAACTAGCGTTACGTCCAAGGGACGTTCGACAAGGCAGGACCAATTGAAAGTAGGGGAATGGCTTAATAGAGCAAGTTATGGTTGGAGTCCTGGGAGGTGCCTGTATTGGGAATGTCGATGACAGCTAAAGCTCTTCGTGGTGGTTGAACTCCCGCATTCACGAAACGGGAGCTTAGGAAGTGGCTCTGCTGGAAGTAAGTGTGTTCGGGTGCATAAAGCAAGCCAAAGAACTTCTTCGAAGCTATAACCCCAAAATATCTGGGGAGCCATTCACCTTTCGAAAGACTAACCTGAGATTTATAACAGGGCTGTTAACGGCAAAAGTAAGATCCCTACAAGTTTTTGAGAGGTTGTTCAATCATCTGGTAACTGGCGTATGGCCCTATTCAGCAAAGAATGCAGCATTAACTGTCGTCTAAAATATTTACCTCGCGTATTACATCGGGCTCGACGAGCCCTCTTCATTATGAATTCCACCTTACCAACGGGCTTCGACGGACTGAAAAGGAGCCTCAAGGCCAACCAGAGGTGTTGAGGATCTCCACAGGTCTACCGGAAGGTAGGAAGACGGCCGCTGCAGCAGTGAGTACCTTGCGGAACTGATGGTCGCCAAACAGTGGACAGCGTCCAAGGTTTTATCGGTAACTTCCGAGAAGCTGTCTTTATTAAGTTTTTAATGTTGATGCTGATGGATAATTGCGGTTTTGGTCAAAAATAGGGGAGGCACTTATCTGAGCTGAAAAGTGCGGTAATGGGTTTCATTATAAAATGAAAAATTATAAGGCAAATTCTGCATACCTATTACTAATTCAATAAAACCAAGGTCGTACTTAAGCTCTTATATAAATATTGATATTTAATTTAGAGTGAAAATGTCTTTCGATGGTCGCTGCGGACGAAGCCGCAGGAGAAGTCTAGCTCTCCTACAAAAATCTTTCACATAATTTCTAATTTCATAATAGAACTTAGTTCCTGCAAAATCATACATATTTTATTTAAGTACTTTTTCGGTGGAATAAATAACCTTTGAGAGTATTTCACAGATCTACTTTCCCGGCATCATACATGTAGTTTATGTGCTGCGGCCATCGGGACTCTTCCAAAAAGCCATATCCGAAGTCAGCACAAAATTCTCCAAAGATGAATATCGCTTTCGACTGGTAATCTGTTCGGCGCTCAGTGATCTGCACGAGTATATAGACAAAAGTCAGTTAACAGTCGATATGGGCGGAACGTTAATCTATTCACATCACGAGTGGATACAACAGCGAATAGTAAGTGAACAACAACTGTTATATTATACAAAATTTTATATATGTATGCATTTGTATGTCCAACATTTAATTTTTCCCCACAGTCACTTGAAAAATTCTCTAGTCTCACCCATCAAGTCTCTACGGAATTGGATATCTTCATACAAACCATACACGATACGGAATTTCCCAACTCTGTGGAGGCCACGCAAAAGCTAATTGATGTGCAAGGCAGTGACTATGAGCGTTTGAAGGTTTATAAAATAATTTCTTCTATAAAATTATATACCTATTTAATAATATCACTCTGTATTTTCTCGAAAACGCAGGAGGAGATATTGGCCGCTGCCAGACATGGCGAAACTTTGTTGAACAATATCAAAGGGAATGAAGAGATTAAGGAATTCTCAGAGCGTACCGGCAATGTTAGCGCAATAGAGCGGTAAATTTTAAAACTGCTTTCACGCACTTACTGCCTTTTCTACTGTTCTCTTTTTAACTCCGTTTGCTTTCTCTTGCTTTAAAATGAGTTCATATTTACATAGCATTGAAGTCGTTTTATCATTTTAAAACTTTCTTATCTACTAATAACTACTAAAAAGCCATTCCTTAGAAACTCCTGGATATCCTTCCAAGAAAAAAAAAATTAACTTCTTATATCTTATTTACTTGTGTATAATTCACTTTTCTATGGTATAATATTTATTTGCGTAACTATAGCTCTGCACTGGTTTTGTAAAGAGATTTTACATTTTACTTGTAATTGTAATTTAATTGCGGTATTACGATACATTGTTGTTGGTAATTAGTTTAAAAGGAAAATCATAAAATACAGTTTACAAATTTAAGTTGTAAATACATACATATATGAGAATACGTACATACATATGTACATAATATATTTATACTTATTTTTTGGAAAAAATATTAAAGCTAGAGAAGCTGTAAGAATCCGTTCCGGATTTCCTTGCATTTTGCTCTAGGTGTTCACAATTTCAGAATTTTAAACATGAACAAGAAAAGTACATAATACCTTCAATCCTTCAATACTATCTATGTATGTATATCGGAAGAGTTTTGGAAAATCAGAGACTTATGAGTGTCAACTTTTTCTTATGGACAAAATTTGAGTATCAAATTTAACCAAAAAAGGACTGAAAGATAATTATGCAAATAAAGTTAACGAAAGACTTAAGGTATGAACTTTTCTTTCACAGAAAATGAAACATTGTCCTATAAATGGACAGTTCACCCTAGTGATAAGCGATCTGGAAGCTAAGATGATCCAGCTCTCCTCTGGCTTACAATTAATCATCGTGCATCTATCAGAAACGACACGCAAACGCACATCTCATTCTTAACGTTATGCTCCCAAAACTTTTGTGCTCGTTTTGTTTTCCAGCAGAACGTTGCCCACACTTCTGTTCTTATTTGATCCTCCTTGCAAACGTTCTAGATACTTTCATTCTTATTTTGTTCAAGAATGTATTCTATACAAGATTGTGCATTACCGGCGGCGAAGTCATTTCTCAGGTAAAAGTAAACAAAGCCAAATCGTAGGATAAAAGAAAATGTCAGATTAGCCAATTATCTTCTTCTTCTTCTTTATTGGCGCTGTAACCGCCTAAGCCAATTAGAAATGCCAAGTTAAGCCAAGTCCTCCTCCACCTGGTCTTTCCAACGCAGAGGAGGCCTTCCTCTGTTGCCAGCATCGCGACCCGCGTCGAATACTTTCAGAGTGGAGCCGCTGAATTTTAATTCGCTGCACTACGTCTATGTCTTTGTAAAGCTCATACAGCTCTTCGTTAAATCGTCTGCGGTATTCGCCATCACCAACGCGCAAAGGCCGTAAATCTTGCGTAAAACTCCAAGAGCCGCTTCATCACTTATTTTCATTGTCCATGCCTATGCACCATACACCAGCACAGGCATGATGAATGCCTTATAGAGTGTGATTTTTGTACGGCGAGAGAGGGCTTTACTTCTCAATTGCCTAGTCATTTCAAAGTATCAACTATCTTAATATTCCATTTTTCGATATAAAACGTATTGCTTTAAATTGTTAATATATATGACTTTTAAAAAAGTTAACATAAACCATTTGAAAACCCAGTGATTTTAGTGAATATATTAGTGAATTTCAGTGCCTTTAATGTTTTTGAGGCACAATTTACTCTTAATTAATGTCAACATCGGTAAAACCAGAGTAGCGGTTTGCGTAATTCGTCACCTTCTGTTCGCTACATCTTGGGAAACGTTCCAGAAAGTTTCGCTCTCATTCTGTTCTTCTTGAGAACGCTACCGAGAGTTTTGTTCGCATTTATTTTGTTCTTTACGGAAACGTTTCCGAACCTTTTGTACTCGTTTTGTTCCCGTTCAAACTGCTCTCAATACTTTTATTCCCGTTTTGGGAACGTTCCTGACATTTTCTGCTCGTGCAGAACTGAACCAAAACTAGAATGCGTTCTCGTTCCCTATTTTTAAGTGGACAAATAAAACTCAATAATAATCTTTTTTTCTGAGCGAAAAAAATAAAAACCAAAAAATAATGATTAATTGCTGATTTACAGAATATTACTGATAATGATTAGCGTCCCTGCTTCAGATAATGTAGGGTTTTTTTGTTTCAACCCATATTTGCCATACTCACTGGTTTGTACTAAGGTTAACTTTCTAAATAGGTCTTTGAAAAAAATCATCTTATTGTACTTTGACGAAAATTTAAACCAGTACGTTAATGTTCTCTGTACTTACACATGTGTATCTAACTACATCCATACGTACATACATTTTGAAACGTTAAATGTTAAATTTTCCTTACGATTATTTTTTTACATTTCATAAACCCGATAATTTTTTCAGTTAATTGCATGCCACAATACACAAGCTTAGCTTCATTGTCTATGGATATTCACTAGCCTTCATTGTTGTCGAAAGTTTTGATTCTAAAAAGTACCCACTCTTTATTTAAATCGTGTCAAATTTCAAATTAAGCGCATAGCTGTTTGTGTTGTTGTTGAAAATTGTATTTAACTAAAGATACGAAATTGTGTATGTTAATTTTGTAAGAAATATTTCAATATCCTTAGTGGAGCATGTTTGTTGATACAAAATATAGTTATAACGTCCCCACCGATGCATAAGGCGGCATATAAACTAGGATCTTTCGCTTTGTTACGAAGATAAGCTGAAATTTTCTAATTTTGTATAATTATATTTAAGAAAGCATAATTCAAATAATAAATAAATAATCAAGTCGAAAGATTAAACTATCAGTTTTGTTAACTGTTGGTTTTAACATATCCCTTACATACACACTATTTACATGAATAATTGACATTTACACAATTTGAAATAAGTTCAATATTACTAACCAATTCGCTAAACCAAGCAAATACTACTTAAACAACAACAATACTAAACGACACAATGCCTCCCTTTTTCAATATATGTAAATTAAAATCAAATTTTTTCCCCCCAAACTCACATTTGGCAATCAAAATTACAAGCACGCACACGGATTACGCCACAAAAAAAAATTACATCCGCACCACACCATATCACCAAAATACTCGTTAACCTAAAAATTCAAAGCAACTTTCACTAGCTCATTCCTCTGTCATCGCTCTCATAAGCATATTGTGTTCTCTTGTCTCTCTTTTTTCGCCCAACACACCACCCACTTAAAAATAAAAAATAAAACAAACACACTCGCTCGCTTGCGAATACAAAATAAAAAATCTCTAAAAAAAACCTCCCAAAAAATTTATGATTTTCTTTTAATAATTTAAAAAACGAAATGAAACACCCGCGGCAAAATTGCAATGCCTCGCATTGTTCGTGTGCTATTGAACTCACTACTCACTCACGTGCAGACCCAGTGCAGGGAACAGTGCTAGCAATCGCCCACCTCATCAAATAATCTATCATCAACAATATAAATTCAAAAAACCGCAACATTTTGATGATTGTCGCGATTATCGTAGACTGCTGGTGCAGCTGGAGGAGACCGAGCGGCGCTTTGACGAATTCTGGCGCACACATCGGAATCGACTGCAGCAGTGCCTGGAGTTGCGTCGCTTCGAGCAGGATTTCCGTGAGCTGCAGGTGAGTTTTTTTGGTCCTTATTTTTGACCACAAAACCAGGATTTCCTGCTGCACTTATTAGCAATTTTCCGCTTTTATTGCAGACCATTTTCGATGCCCATCTGAAATGCGTCGCTGAAATGACCGAAATTGGTGAAAGTGTGGAGCGCGTTGACACTCTGATGGCCGATACGAAGCACTATCAACAGCTCAGTCAGGTGGATATCGAGCGTGCTGGTGAGGTGATTAGCGCCGGTCAACAGCTGCTTGGCGTACGTGGCGTCTATCCGTGGGAGATTGTACAACCCAAATGTGATGAATTGCAACGAGTGTGCGATATTATAACAGAGCGTTTGTGCAAGCGTCTGGAGATACTTACCAAGAATCGTGAACTTATGGAGAGAGTAGAAAAGGTAGTTGATAGTTTTTTTAATAACTTTTAAAGCGAGTAGGAATATCAAACTTTTCTTTTAGGCTAATCAATGGTGCGCCAATGGTGTGGAGCTTTTGGCCTCACAACGTATTGAGAAATGTTCTGCTTCGCCGGAAATTGCCGAACAGAGCCTACAGGAAATACAGGCTTTTATTTCCTCTGCAGCGGAATTTAAATTATCTAGTCCAAGTGAATTTAAGAAAATCTTCCTGGAGAGTACAACACCCGAAACCAAAGCACTTGTATCACAAGTAAGTGGATTTTTTTTTTAAGTATTGCAAAAATGCCTCTATAAGAGAATAACGGGTCGAGTTGATTAATTTAAATTTTGTTTTAAGCGTACTGATTTATGTTTGCCTTATGAACTTCTACCTATCGTAATCGAAAAAAAATTATATATTTAGATTATTTAGGTTAGTGTATGACCATGTAGCTACTTACATATTGTAGTTCTTTTTACCGAAATTTCGTCATTTTCTTGTTGGGTTTATAGGATTGTCACCGGTAGTTCCAAAAAGCAAACGATATGTCCTATTAAACGGTATCACAGCGGGCCTACTACTTCGATTTCCTTAAAACTAAAGTAACATATGAAATGGTACTACTAAAAAGGCAAATGAAATATGTATCAGAGTACTCTTAGCTTTTATTTCAATACAAAATGTCGTGTAAATTTTACATCTGTACATACATACACTGCCGCCAAAAAGTATTGGCACAGCAAATTTTTCACAATATATACAAAAATTTTTTTCTAATATTTTTCTGCCAATTTTTTATACAAATGTGCCTCACTCTACAACAAAAAACATAAAAGTATAATTCCTAAACTTTGTGCAAATTTCGCGAAATTCAGCAAATTTTCAACTCTTTAATCAGATTTTTTTGAATTTTTTTGAGTATGAAGTTTTACAGGCCATTACATTGAAGTAAAAAAATGCAAGTTCGGAGTTCGTCAAAAATGGCATTGAATTTTGGAATTTTTTTTGTTGAAGGTGTGTTGCATTTTTCCATATAAATTATTTGCGAAAAAATCTGTCTTTGTATTGAAGAACTGCGGGCAAAATATTGCCAAAAATCAACGGTCCTACCTACTTTGCATGAAAATTTGCTGAATTTTCGTGAGTTTTGCATAAAGTTTAGGAATTATATTTTTATGTTTTTTGTAGAATGAACCATATTTTTATAAAAAATTTGCGGAAAAATATTAGAAAATAATAATTTGCACATATGGTGAAAAATTTTGCAGTGCCAATACTTTTTGCCGGCAGTGTATGTACATGCATATGTATCTAAGTCAGTATGTGTGAGGGCTCCCACGTCTAATTGACATTCCATACCCACAAATCTCGTGTCCCGTAGTCAAGAACTACAATGAAAACATAATTCAAAACAAAGACAAATATTTAAGTGTAGAATTGTGTGACTCATAGAAAAAAATCACACCCATCAATTGAAGCATGCATAAATGCTGGAATTCCAAATTGCCATATGAAATGCACCCACAGTTGGCTGATAAACAAAGAATAAAAAAAAAAAAACAGTTTTCCCTAAGCATGCAAGCGCAGCCTCCACATGTTTTACATGATTTGATGTTCTGGTGATTTTTAAAAACAGGCGTCTTTTTTTCGCATGACTACAGTGCGTAAATATTAGTCGATTCGTCATTAATGTGCGCTTGGAGTTTAGATTGCTTTATTGAAATGTTATTATTTTTAAATACATATCAGCTGGTAGTGACGTTTTAGTTGCATTCGAAGTTCCAAAAACTTTTATTTATGCCATTAGTAAAGCTAGTACAGTACTTAGATAGCAGAAATAGTAAAAAATCACCGACGCATAAAACGTAGGCAAATGCTTTTTCTTAAAATTCCAGACCTTTTACTCAATTTGTACAAATAAATTTAAGTTTAAGGTATGAAATTTTAAGATAAAGCAATTGCTTAGTTTTTATGCATACGGCCCAATTTTTCGAAATGCTTTAATCTGAGCCGAAATTTTGCTGAGTATAATGAATCAAAATGAATGATGCTGCACCGATAATGTGAATACTCTTTTTCTTATTTTAGAACAATCAAATTGTAAATACGGCGATATTTATCAGACGCTCATGGCCCGATCAAAGTCGACAATTTGTTTATTATTATTTTTAGTCAAGCATGATAGTGTGACCATGTTGTACCGATTATCATCGCATATTTAGTTTGGCCGATATGCATCCAAAAATATTGTCACAAAGATACCGCTACTCTCACTTTTCTCGATGAGACTCGATGGTGCCTCACCGTAGCACAGTTTCCTGTGATGTGACTACCTTCTGAACACCCACAGGCATATGAGAATGTCTGACGAGGAAATAACGCTACTGGAAGAAGAGTGAGGCATTCTCTTACTAACTTTGAACTCACCATTAGCGAGCTCAAAGCCCCGAATTTTCGCTTGGGTATCAGAGTAGATATTTTCCTTCCTTGCGGACATCACACAACTAAGCTTCGAACGAGCCATATTGAAGTACACCGATGATCATTTCTATATTTTGGCTCCGAGGGGAACACCTCTCCCTCCCTTCCTCCCTCTCGTTTGGCCCTGGTGGGGGGAAGTGAGTTGTGAGGGAGATCATTTGCGACAGTGTAGATGCGTAGTGTTTCGAGCTATTAGCAACAAAGTCGAAGCCTCCAAGATTACAGAACATCCAAATGCTGTGTCACTTAAACACCCAGTAGATAATTTCAGGAGCTAAAAGCCCTCCCAAAAGACCATCTTGAGAGCTAAACGCCTTTCACTCTGCATTCTTTTCTGCTTTATTTTTTGTATGGAGTGGCACAAAGTGAAGGCCTGCTGCTTTCGGTCCCCATACAAGGGCTTCTAGAAGGCCTTTTGGAGGAGTTACTATACAGCTGCTCCTTTAATTCATAGAAATCATACTTGTTTAAGGTATTTATTTAAGGTTCGTATCAAATATGTTTTATTGCAATCTAAAATGCATATTTAAATTCATTTGTAATGCTAAATAGTATAAACTTTAACATTCGCGTAAATTATAAATAGAAAAATCCCTTCTACAAGGCATGCAGGGAAGCACTTTTTTCAACATTTCTTGGGTAGGCCTTTTAGAGTGGCATTTCTTAAGAAAGGGTAGCTAAATTATTTTCTGGGCATCCAGTGCCCATAAGTCTGACCACAGCTCTCTCTAAGACAGTTACCGAGCTGCCGAGATATGTGCGGGTGCTTGACGCATTGAGACTAGAAGCATTTTAAGCCGGACGTAGGGTTCATACTCAAATTTTAAAGTCACTTTTTTCTTATTACGGCTTAAGCTTCCGTAGTTTGGAATCCTTTCTAGCTTTTCAGTTGGAGCAAAAAATATCTGATTTTGTAATTGCATTTACCTTTTTTTTTTAGCTTCACCCATCAGTCCTCTATATCAGCGTTTCACTGTAGTCCCACACCATTTACTTATTTATTTACTTTATGCATTAGCAGAGCATTGTGAATCACAAATGCTTTATGCTGTTGTTGTTCTTATCGTTGTTGATAGCGCGCTTTAAGCGAATATTCGTATGTTCAAAGCTAACATTCAGTTTTCGCATATACGTCGTTTAAAAGGGCGCGAGCTTAATTTTTCGTGCAGTTTAAATAGTAGAATTTTTCGCATTTTTTTTTTTGCTTGTGTAACGTGTATGTATTTTCATTGCTTTTATCGCGGTGTGGCGATAAAAAAAAAGAAACACATAAAAGTTTGTTTGCATAAATTTTGTTAGAATCTCGTCAAAAAAAAAAAGAGTATAAAAAAAGACCTAAAAACATGTCCGTGATTGCGAGCGATATTATGTTTTTTCGACGCTGGTCCACCAGTACGTCTATGGCAATGGCCAGCAGCGCAGCGCGATTGTGTAATAAAAGTGTGACGGCTATTGATACTAGAAGTGATTACAATAATGATTACAATAATGATAACTACAACAACAAGAGCTGTGATGGTGGTAGTGGTACAAATAATGAGCATAATTTTAAAAAAATTAATGAGGAAAGCAAAGACAACGAAAGCGGTGAGAGCAGCAACAATGGTACTGCCACGGAATTTGCAGTGAGTAATGCAGTTTTCGTAATACATATTTTTTTTTAATTGCTTTTTTTTGGTTTAACGCAATTTGTTGTCATCAACATTCGTGAATGACTAAATACAAGTGGTTTGGAAGTGAGCAGAAATATATATATTTTTTGGAACCCGTATTTCCGCTGCTCGCGCCTGAATTCACAATCAGAGTAGTCGCGCGCGCGCGCGTTTTACAACAGTGGACTGCAAGGAAACAAAAAACAACAGTTGCAACAACTCATCAACAGCATTTTGCCATTACACTACAACACTTGCCCCTCCAAAAATCGACTAAAAGTCTCTGGCGGCTGCTCACTTAACCCATATTTGTCCACTTGACCAGTGCATAAGCACACACGCACGCACGCACGCAACGCGTCAATGTGGCATGCCACAACATATGTGCATATGCCAGTTAAAAAACAAACAAAAAAAATGGCTTGCGTTTGCGTAAATCCTACTACTTATCTTATTTCCTTCAACGCCAATTCGTTTACCTTGGCTGGCCTTTAATGGCGTAAAACGCGCGCATGCGTGCAACAGTTGTTGCTTGGAGCCAGTTTAGCGCGCCCACCTCTTATCGGTCGACTGTCGCAAGTGATTCTTGTATGGCAGGCGGTTAATCCCAATTCGGGCAAGTTGAAATCAACTCAGCTTAAATCAGCTAAAATCGTATCAAAACAAAACGCTTACATTGCTTGCTGCTGCTGTTGTTGCTGGCTGTCATAGCTGGCGCACTTTTGCTTGCAATGTTAAATGTTGTATGTATATGTATCAGGTTGCCACAGCATCAAGCGGCAGCTAACGTGTTTTGTTTTACAAGCATGTTTTTCTTTCCTGCAACGTCTGGCAAGCTGTGGGGCTACTGAACTCCGCCTAATCAATGATTTTTCCCCCCCCACCCCCCCCTCTCGCACACATCTCTCATATTTCCTCTAAGGATATGAGCGTATGGTGATCGGCTGTGCGATTATTACCGCAATTGCTGCTTCTTGATTGCTTGACTGCAGTCATATGCTCAATTGGCCAACTGGCCATTGCAATTTCTTTAATTACACAAGAATTACAAAGAAAAAAAAATTAAAAAAAAAAACAACTAAAAGTGGAATCACTAACTTTTTTTCAGAATTGTTGCTTTTACCTGTGGTTCTTGATTTGTGTTTCCCCTTTAAAAAAAAAAAATCTCTATATTTGCAAGCTTGCATAGCCATATGTGTCATATGTAGTTACATACATACATACGTAATTGCCTTCTATTCTTGTTGATTAGATGTGGTGATATCAAGCTTACAGTTACATAACTGCATATCGAATTACAGAAACAAGTTAACGACAATATTCTATGAATTAGTTAGTATAAGCGTACGAGTATGTGTAATCAAATGTATGTATGTATGTACACCCATTTTCTGCAACAACTAACAAGTCGACACTTCGATTGATCGCTGTCACGTTTGTGTTGAAGGCTCTGATGGCTGTGCTGAAATCTTGATTGCCTATAAGAACAAGAAAATTGAAACAAAAACAAATAGTAATCATTGCCTTACTGGGAATGCATTGGTTGAAATTGAGCAAGAAATGCATAACTTAATTTTTAAGGAGTTTAGAACTTAAGTTGCACTATGTATTCAGGAAGAACTTTGAGTTTCAGTTGAGGTGATGAGGCTAAGATATAATAGTACTACTACGATTGCTTGAATTTATTTAACACCTTTGGTCTTAAAAAGTGAAAGGGAAATGAGGAAGACGTCGTATATGCTGGGTCGTGATGATCTTACTTCGGTGCACAGGCAGTTCGTTTCCAAGATAGCAGAGCAGTATTCACTTTTGCCTGCTTTTAAGAGGAGGTCCGACCATCAATGAGTCGTTGCCCGCAAACCTACCGTTCCTTTAGCGAAGTGTAGTAAACAATATTTGGCCCTTTGCCGAATTTTAATTCTATCCCTTGTAGCTGAACTTCATAAGGTAATTAGAACGAGTATTTGCCTTCTGAAAGCTAGAAACTCGCAAATTATGTGTTCCACTGTTTCCTTCTGATAATTATTTGTGATACACTCGCTCTGATCCAGTACTCCATGAACTTACACGTTTTTACACGAACTTGCAAGAAGTTACAGGAAATATGAACCCGTACTCCAAAGTCCTGTAAATGAAAGCGATTTTTGGAGAGTTGTGTAGAGAATGAAATTACAAGATTTTACTTTTTCTTCTGGTAAAATCATGAAAAGTGTCAAGCGATCACTGGTTGACGTTTGTAGAGGAAAAATGCTTTTTCTTGTTCCCGTATTTTTTGTTGTTACTCACTTTTTACTCTCACTTCAGAGAGTGATATTGCTGTTGGACATTTTTACAGGACTTTACACGAAAAGTATTGGATTAAAGCACCTTTTTGTTTTCCGTTATATCAACCTAGTTTGCCCTACTTTAAGAGACCTTTCGAAACTCAGTTGGCGGACGTACTTTTTGAGACGTTTAACATTCACTCAGGTGGTTGTTACAGTCAAACTTTAACACATGTCGATTTTAGGTTTATCTTCCGCATGCTGGCCGACAGGGCTGTCGTAAAAGAGTGGGACAGTGCTTATCCTCGGCGTTAACGCCGTCCTGGAGGAAAGGAGAAGTTGTCGGGTTATCGGCCATACTGACGCTATAAAACTCATCTTCAGAGGAAAGTTTCTGGCTGCTTCGTTTTCCGTATTGGCGTGCCAGCTTCAAAATAAGATTGAGCTCGTTTTTTTCACCAAATATTATGCAGTGCCCACTACTCAGCTTATACCGATCAGTGGCATTCCACTTTAGAATTCAGATTGCGTCAAATATTTGGTCGTATTCCTATGTATATAGGAAGCTACCTTGGAAGCTTTGAAAGCGCTATTATGAAGAGGTGACACCCCATCCAATCAAATCTAATCGCTCAATGCCTAACTCTGTCTTGGTTTCTTCGGATTACTTTGAATTTAAGTTGGTTTGGGTTCTAGGGCACTGTATCGGCCATATCTGCAGACAGAAAGGGTAAAAGAGTTCTTGTGACCACACATGGACTGCTTCAAAGCAAATGGGCTTAAATTCGGCTCAGCGATCGCTGGGAGAAAAACTGAGATAAACTAAGGGCCGGTTACTCAATGTCTGGTTAATACTAATTTGCGGTTAAACATCGTTATCGACGTCTTCGACCCCATGCATACAACTGGGAATCGGTAACGTCGATAACTATGTTTAACCGGAGATTAGTGTTAATCAGACATTGAACAACCGGCCCTAAGTCACAGAAAATAATAAGCTTGAACTTGTATGAATCCCACGCGACTGCGGAGCTAAGGACTAACAAACTGTTAAGCTGCATATTTTTGATGGGAGCGTGCCCCATTTGAGCCTACAACTCGCTGCTACAGTCAGAAAACTCTGTCTCTATGACGAAACTTTAGATAAACGGACGAAAGCTGATTGACTTCAATTGAGCTCATTTTTAATATTTTCTACAAAGCAACTTGTTCCCTTGCTACTGCAACATGTTGCTTCATGCTAACTCGATATTTCAAACACACCACTTGCAACTCTAACAAGTTGTACTTCATTATTACGTTTTTATAGCTTGTGAGAATCCGTTGAGTGACTTAAGTATACTCAATTGTAGCATTAAACCAAGTATGTGCTCTCTACTTGGGTTGACCTCGCCACTGTCAATGTCTAAAGTTTAACCAGGCCAACAATCACCGCTCAGCACCGCAACAACAAACCAACACACAACCACTATCCACTAACTAAACCACAAACCGGCCTGCACTCTGACAGTATCGGAGCAAATCGGTTATAACTTAAACTTGAAACATTTTGCATTTTAAGTATTGCATGTTGCGCCTGCGCGTTTATGCCCACTTTCTGTGGTTTCTTGCAGAACAGGATTCTATTGCAACATATTCGTACATATTCGAAGCTGCGGCTCTCATATGTATTACGCATTGTTACCGTGCAGAATTCTAGGTAAATAAAACTTGAAATCGCCGGTCGGATTACACAATCACAATTCGCAAAACCACTTTTGTGTTGGCCGGAATGTTGGGGAGGTGTAGAAAATGGGGGGAAAAATTGCAAGCATTTGTAATTGGCAATCGACCATTTGCCATTGATTGAGCATGATTCCTCTGACTTTTCACTCTACAGAATGTATCCAGAGATCTGATTTAATATAAACGTATACGTTCGTAATATGTACTGTAGTGAATATAACGAGGCAACAGTAGTGTGGGAATAGAATGACGCAATATAATTTGTTTATAGCAATGCGATTAATATCTGCATTTCATATTAGTTTTTTTATATGTATTTATTTAGCCTTTTTTTCAAA